CCAGAAGTCTTGTGGTCCACAATCTTGTTGAAGATGTCTACTGCAAACTCATAATCCAACCGGAACCATTTTTTCTTGAGGGGCCAAAAGATTTTATCTTTGGAAGGTGCCTCCTTGTGTCGTATGGATTCATAGAAATCCTCCGGATCCAGATGATAATATACCAGATTGGACTTGTAGGACTCATCTCGTCTGGGAAACCCAAAAGTTGATCGAATATCCTCAGCAGTAAACACAATGTGATGGTTATTAACTTTTGAAGATATGCTTGAGAAATCAGAAGCAACATAAGCATTCAAATAAAAACTGAGTAACATCAAGAGGGTACCATTCATCATAGCGGTGAGTTACCAAACCAAATAAACCTGTTTCAAGCATAAGAGCGATTATTCGATCTCCAAAGGCTTTATCCAAGACATACTTACGAAACCCTTCTTCGTCCCACATACTTCCTCCGACAACAAATGGAATTCTGGACTTGATAAATTCTATGTCTTCGGTGGGAAAGCTTGGTATAACTGGAGTGGATGATGGTTCAGGGTTCCCTGGGTTCTTTTCGGAAGGAGCCGCCATTGATGATAGAAAGCTTGACTATAGAGATTGTTGAAGGGAAGGGATGAAATTTGAGAGATGTAAAACAGATGGAGTAAAGGTTTGAGTAGGGTTTATAAAGCTCCGGGTTGGTGTTCGTAAAACAGCCCATTAAGAAAACTTATTAAAAAAAAATTCAGCGGTTCTTCTTCCTCAAAAGGTAACTGATCATCATGGTTACGTGATAAGAACGTGTGCAGATCTGAAACGATCATTCCCTCATTTAATGAGGAGAGAGAAAAAAAGCACTCAAGTGCTGAGAGGTGCATTAAATGCACGTCTTTGTCCTGTCAGACTAGTGGGATAGAGGCGATTTTCTCGACCATTTGATCCCAATGAAACTTTATGAACGGTTCAGATTCAAGAAGAAGTAGCGTCTTGAGTACGGTTCAAAAATTCGAATGTTGTTCAGAATTTCGTAAGATGAACATAAAGTTGCCCGAGAGATTCATGCTGAATAATCAACAAGGTTACCCGAAAGATTCGAGTAAGATTCGATCAGAACAAACATTTAAGACAGTCAGCAAGGTTACACAGATAAGACATTGTATCTTATTAGCACATAGATAGGCATGCTTTTATTCATCAAACGAGAAGAGAAGATACATAAACATAGATGATGATTTTCAGAAAATCACTTTTTCTTCCTCTCAACCTTCTTGGATGAAGAACATTCAGGCTTATCTTTCTTCACCCTTCCAAACACTTCCCTATACCATCTTTTATAGCGCGGAAAGTTGGAACCAGTGGAGGATTCAGCCTCATCATCTTTGTCATACTTCTCTTCCAAATTGTCTTGTGCCAGAAAGGCATGTAGTCCTTGTCAATCCATTCTTTTGGGATCTTTTCTTCATTCTCTGATTCAACGATGAATCCAGCCATATCATCGTATTGAAACGATGAGTCTGAATCAGAGACGAGATTGATAGGAACATTAGGACTATTGCCTGGGTACAAGTCACCTTGCTCCTCCCTGAGGCGCCTAGAGGCCTCTTGGAGCTTGCGAGAGTCATTTCTTGTGAACCTTTTCTTAGGTGCCATTGAGAGAGAGAAAGAGAGGATGGTGAGAATTATGTGAAATTCTCTCCCTTTTTATAGCCAAGGATTAAGGGGCTTATCCGTAAATCCGTCAATATTGCAATCAATGCTCATTACAGTGTTCAAGATAAGGCTGATTTCAGTTTGGACTGAAATTTTGATTCCCTGTACGACCTGAGTTTCAACGTGCTTAGCATTCAATAAATTCATAATGAATTTTTGAACTCTTTTTGACCAGATATAACTTGCAATAAATGCACATAAAGGTAAACCTTTCTGTGATCCGAAATCATAAGAACTTATGCAAAGCATTTATTTGGATAACATAAGCATCATGACATACAGGATAGACAGAGAGAGAGAGACTTAAACATAAAAGGCTCAACCTACTACAGTTCAAAGGAAACGATAGGGCACGTGAAGTTCCAATCGGGTCATCTCATCAGTCACATCAGCCAGATTTGTTGTTTTGGCGAATTCATCCAACTCTTCTAGAGAGAGAGTGGGTTCGAGTGGCTGATATGTGACCCGAGAGTGGACCCTTGAGAAATCCTCATAGGATTGAACATTGGGTGGAGGAACTTCAGGAAAGGGATACCATTGAGAGGTTGGTGACGATGAAGAGTCTTTGTTGGAGCTTTTCATCATCATGATTCTTTCATAGGCCTCCTGACTGGCTAGTTCCAGACGATACCTCCTTTCGGCCCTAGATTCATTGACAATAGTGTCAAGCGTCTCTTTTTTCGGGGTTAGGCATTGAGTAGGTTACATTGATCATCTCTCCTTCTTCTTTCAAGCTTATGATGGTGGCATTAGGGAGCTTGCTTGCTTCCTGTAAGTGATGCTTCAGACGGGTAGCCCTCTTTTCTGCTTCGTTCATTTTTCCTTTCTCTTTGTTCATACCTGCAATCATTTCTTAGAAAGAAGTGAGTATGTCTTGTGTATGGTAAAGCTATTTTATAGGCAAATAAGTGTCGTGGAGATCTATACAAAATCTTTTGGATACTGACACTTTCTTGCGTGAGAGACACGAAAACAAAGGTACAAGAAAAGATATGGTAAATTATTATGAAGCATAGTGAAGCAACATCACATATTAGGTCATTTCAATCATTCCGATCTCATGCCTTAAAAGAGAGAATCTTGTCTCACTCAGAGGTTTAGTGAGTATATCTGCCAATTGATCATCGGTATTAACATATTCGAGAGCAATGTCTTTCTTTTCAACATGATCACGAATAAAATGATACTTGATATCAATGTGCTTGGTCCGAGAGTGTAGAACTGGATTGTGTGTGATTGCTATAGCACTTGTATTATCACACTTAATGCTCACTTCTTGGGCATTTATCCCATAGTCTCTTAATTGATGTCTCATCCATAAGATTTGAGCACAACAACTTCCAGCTGCTATGTATTCGGCCTCAGCCGTACTGGTAGCAATGGAATGTTGTTTCTTGCTAAACCAAGACACAAGTCTTCCTCCTAGGAACTGACATGTTCCCGAGGTACTTTTTCGATCAATTCGACAACCTGCGAAGTCTGCATCTGAGTATCCTATCAGATCAAATGATCCTTCTTTCGGATACCAGAGGCCGACATTTTGTGTGCCCTTAAGATATCGCAATATCCTTTTGGTCGCACTCAGGTGGCTTTCTTTCGGTTTAGCCTGAAAGCGAGCGCATACACCAACAGCAAACGAGATATCGGGTCTACTTGCTGTTAGGTATAGAAGAGAGCCAATAATACCACGAAAATTTTTCTGATCAACTTCCTTTCCTTCATTGTCAATGTCCATCCTAAGGGATGTACTCATAGGTATTTTGACGGAACTTTTTCCATCAATGCCAAACTTTCGGATAAGATCTTTTGTGTATTTGGCTTGGTTTATAAATATCCCATCAGGACATTGTTTGACTTGTAAGCCTAGAAAATAATTCAGTTCTCCCATCATACTCATTTCAAATTTTCCTTTCATGAGATTGGAGAATTTTTCACATAGATCTGGATTCGTGCTTCCAAAGATAATATCGTCAACATATATTTGTACCAGTAGGATATGATCATTATCCTTTATACGAAAGAGTGTTTTGTCAACCACTCCTTTCGTGAAGCCACGATTGATTAGAAAACATGATAATGTATCATACCAAGCTCGTGGAGCTTGTTTCAAACCGTAGAGAGCTTTCTTAAGGTGGTACACCTTTTCGAGGTCATTGTTGATAGCAAAACCAGGAGGTTGTTCAACATATACTTCTTCTTCAAGAAGTCCATTCAGGAAGGCGCTTTTGACATCCATTTGATAGACTTTGAAATTTTTGTAAGCTGCAAAAGCTAAGAATATTCGTATAGCTTCCAATCTGGCTACGGGGGCGAAGGTTTCATCAAAATCAATACCTTCCTCCTGACAATATCCTTTAGCCACAAGGCGAGCTTTGTTCCTAACAATGAGTCCATCTTCACTCATTTTGTTTCTAAAAACCCATTTAGTTCCAATGACATTTTGATGTGATGGTCTTGGTACTAGTTCCCATACTTCATTTCGTTCAAATTGATGAAGTTCTTCTTGCATAGCTATTACCCAGTCAGGATCACATAAAGCTTCATCTACAGATTTCGGCTCTATTTGGGATAAGAAGCATGCCATCATACTTTCGTGTAATGACGCTCTTGTTCTAACACCTTCTTGAACATTTCCAATAACTTGATCTGGTGGATGATCTTTCAACCATCTAAGATCTGGCTCAAAGACATCTTGAGAAGGCTGAGTATCCATCTCTGGGATATAAGGGAGGTCTATGTAGATCATTGGTTCAGATGGTGCGTTGCTAGAAAGATTGATAGGTTGATTTCCATTTGCTTGTTCAGATGACATTTCGGGTTCTGGTACTTTCGGCTGATACTTCATGTAGGACGAAAGTAAGTCTTCTTCGTCTGAGATGTCTTCGTCTACGGATTTCTGGGAATTTTGAGCTGGGATAGCAGGTACCTTGTATCCAGAGGGGTTTTTCTCAGATTGCTCATCAAATTTGACGTGGATGGATTCTTCGATAATCATTGTTCGCTTGTTCAGAACTCTGAATGCTTTGCTTATGGATGAATATCCCATGAATAATCCTTCGTCAGCTCTTTCGTCAAATGCTTTAAGATAGCTTTTGCCATTGTTGTGAATAAAACACCTGCACCCAAAAACATGAAAATATCCAATATTTGGAGTCTTACCTTTCCATAGCTCATATGGTGTTTTGTTGTGAGACTTGTTGATTAAGGATCTGTTCTGTGTATAGCATGCGGTGTTTATGGCTTCAGCCCAAAATCTCTTTGGTAGACCTGAGTGTGAGATCATTGTTCGTGCTGCTTCTTTTAGAGTCCTATTTCTTCTTTCGGCTACTCCATTTTGCTGAGGCGTTCGTGCTGCCGAGAGTTGATGAAATATTCCATTTTGAGCACAGAAATCCTTTATCACTTTGTTGACGAATTCGGTTCCTTGATCCGATCTGATTCTTGTTATTTTGACTTCCTTTTCTGTTTGAAGTTGCTTCAGAAGATTTGGCAGAGCCGTTTCTGTTTCATTCTTCTTTTTCAAGAAAAGAACCCATGTATATCTTGAAAATTCATCTACTACCACAAGGGTGTACTTTCTTCCGCTTAAACTTGCTGGATCTATTGGTCCAAAAAGATCCATGTGCAGAAGGCTTAGAGATCGAGAACTTGTGTCTACATCTTTTGACTTGAAGGACGATCTCAGCTGTTTTCCCTTTTGGCAGGCATCACATAACCTATCTTTCGTGTAAGATGTTTCGGGTAAGCCTCTCACAAGATTCCTTTTTGCAAGCTTATTTATTGTCTTCATGTTCAAGTGGCTTAGCTTGTTGTGCCATTCTTGATTGAGATCTGCATTGCTCTTAGCTACAAGACAAATGTTAGTATTAGAAGAATTTAATGAAATTACATACATGTTCTTCTTTCGTTGGCCTGTAAGTGCTGTCCTGCCATCCTTCGTGTTTATGATTTTGCACTCTTCTTTAAGGAATTCTACTTTGTATCCTTTATCGCAGAACTGACTTGTGCTTAGAAGGTTGAATTTAAGTCCTTCTACATAAGAGACATCTTGTATGATTATTCCTTTCTTGATGATATCTCCTTTTCCTCGAGTTTGGCCACTTGTTTCTCCTCCAAAGATGACTTTGGGTCCATTTATTTCTTTGAAGTTGCTCAATATTGTTTTGTCACCAGTCATATGTCTTGAGCATCCACTGTCTACATACCATATGACCTGTTTCTCCTGCATCAAAGATCATGTATTTTTAGGTACCCACTTAGTTTCGGGTCCTTGGGGGTTAGTAGTCAATTTTGGAACCCACATTAACCTAGAGTGCACATGACTCATCCTTGGTCCTTTGTATCCGTTGGAGGTGCGATAATCGAAATAAACACTGGCAAAGATTTTGTCCTTATACTTCCTTTGTTGTTCTTTTGGTGGAGGATTTTCATAATGCCAACGATAATTGGTTTGTTTACGTCGATGTGTTATCTTTAGAGCTTTCCTCGAGAGGAGTTCCGGGTAAACAAACCAATCTTCTTCTGAAGGCCCAGTCCTTCCATTCCCATACCTAGATTTTCTGAGGATCCTTTCAGGTTGTCCGTTCTTTGAGATTTCCTGAGCAGAATTCTTTGGACGAAACTGCCTCTGGTTAACATTTGTCTTTTTATAGGATCGAGAATTCCAGTTAGGCTGACTCAATTTTTGGTGTGGACTTTTTCCACAGCCATTTGGTCCATTCCTTTTGACATATATTTGTCTAGGATTGCCTTTACTAGGTTTTCTCTTTCCTGTTTCCACAATTCGTTGTACAGCCTTTCCTTTTGGTTGGCTTGTTGATTGTGGTGCTGTGACATTGTTATGTACCATCATAGGCTCGGGCAGCTGGGTTGGTCCTTGAACAAATATGGTTGCAAGACTCTCATGTGAGTATGCATTCGTGAATTTGTTCGTTTCGACTTGTGAAGAGGAGCTGGAGTTAAAACCAATTCCGGTTTTCTCTCCGGGCAGTCTGGATTCGTTTAACATTCTGTCCATTAAGTTGGATGACTTGTTAAACTTGTCCAAAACTTCAAGCAATTCTTGCTCTCTCTTTTCTTTTGCTGTGCACTGCTCCTTAAGAGCGAGAACATTTTTCTCGAGCTGCTCTTTAGCAATGATCAGCATTTTGTTCTCAATGCGAACTTGCTCTAATTCATTATGGCTAGTCATGAGCCGAGAGTTCTCCTCTTTTAACTTGGAGTAAGTGCTATTTATTAACTTAAACCTCCTCATCATTTTAGTGACAGATTCACTGGAGGTTTGACTCACTAAAGAACTTGATTCGGCTGAAGAGCAAGAAGAAGATTGAGAGTTTACCTCTTCTTCATCTGCCATGAGGCATAGATCCTCTGATTCTTGGCTGTAGAGGCATAGTAGTCCTTTCTCCTCATCACTACTTTCGTCTTCTGAGCTTGAGCTTGAGGTACTACTTTCGGGTATAGCTTTTTCAGTGTTTTCGGCAACCACCATTGCTTTTCTTCTTCCCTCACTCTTGGAATTTGATGATTCTGGTTTATCACTTTTCTTGTGCTTTTCTCCAGATTCCCTTGAAGAGCTTGTGATATTGTTGCCATCTTGATATTTGCTAACCATTGGATAGGGGCAGTTTGCTTTGAAGTGCCCTGGCTTTCGGCAGTTGTAGCACAACAGCTGTGAATCAGTGGTTTCGGTCTTTGAGGCCTGAGGAAAGCTTTCATGCCTCTTTCGGTGGCTTGACCGTTGTGGATCTTGAAAGTTGTTCTTTCTCATGAATCTTTTCATTTTCCTGACAAATAGAGCATATTGTTCGTCAGTTAAAAAATCACAAGAGTTAGATTTCGACCTGTTGGGGTTTGATGCCGCCTGATTTGCTACGAGGGCAATATTTCTCGTTTCTGGTTCCTCGGCATCTTTCGGTTCATGTTCAAACTCATATGCTTTGAGATCACTGAAGATTTTGGCTGTGGGTGTTGTTTTCATGTCACGATTATCTCTCATCGCGATGACCTTCATTTCCCATGACTTCGGCAATCCACGAAGAATTTTTAGATTCATCTCCTTTTCGGTGAGTTCTTTTCCAAGGTCTGATAAGTCTCCCATTAATCTTGTGAATCTTAACTCCATCTCCATGATCGTCTCGTTTGGTTGCATCTTAAAGTCTTCGAACTTCTTCATGGCTATTGTCAGTTTGTTGTCCTTTTCTTGTTCATCTCCTTCTCCCAAGTCCATTAGAACTTTCCATACTTCCATAGCATTTTTACATTTTCTGACTCTGGGGAAGAGTGAATCATCTAGAGAGTTGTAAAGAATGTTCCTCGCCACATTGTCTAGATTTGCTCTTGTTCTTTCTTCCGAGTTATACTGCTCTTTCGGCTTTGGTATTATTTGTGGAGCATCTGGTCCTTGAGCAGCAGCCTGTGCATTTGCCATCATCACTGTGATAGGTCCAGTAGTTATGACGTCCCACATTTCATCATGAATAGAGCACAGAAGAGCCTGCATTCTTAATTTCCAGTCATCAAACTTGGCAAGACTAAAAGCAAGCTGTCTAGAACGATTTGGTGCATGTTCCTTTTCCATTTTTTTTTAAAAAATCGTGCAACTAGGAAGATCCCCAAAAAAAATCAAAGGTGGATCTACCAAGCAGTAAAATGCAAGAAGCCTTCACCGTTCAAGGTATTCGGCTCTGATACCACTTGTTGGTCCCGATAGATTGTATGGTGAGTCTAGAGGGGGGGGGGGTGAATAGACTCTCGTTTTTCTTTAAATTCTTTAACAGAAAAACCTTGACAACACTTTTGAGTAGGATAAGCACAGCGGAAAGATTATTAAGGGAGGGTTGCACGAGTTTGATTAGAAGATGATATAAGTGATGAAAATGATGATATGCAAGCAGTAAACTAAAGCAGTAAGTAAAGAGAGGAGAGAGACGAGATTTTATAGTGGTTCGGCCAAACTTTGCCTACTTCCACTCTTCTTCCACAACTGCTGGAAGGATTGCACTATCACTTCTTTAGTACAAATACACAAAGACTTCCTTGATCACTAAGCCGGACAGCCTTTGAAGGTTTTTCAACTCCGAGAGTTTACTCCGCCTCTATCAACTTCTTCTTCTAAGTTGAGGTTGGTGAGAAAGTATTTCTTGATTCCTCCAACTGTGAAGTCTTGTAGGTGTGGGATGATTGCTTCCAATGTGCAAGACTTCTTACAAGATGTAGGGCAGTGATGGATGATCTACTTCAAATGCCTTAACACCTTAACTAGCTGGTTCACAAAAAGCTTTGAGATTTGTTCACTTTTAAGAGCTTTTTGCAAGAGAGTGAGTAGAGATAAAATGAACCAGCACCTTCTTAGTTGATGAAGGTTGGTTTATATAGGTGATGAAAATTCATCCGTTGGAGGGAAATGAATTTTTAAACCTTTTATCTGTTGGACAAGGACCATGGAGCCTCATGCATTTAATGCTTCATTAATGGGTTTGTACTATGTAGCCGTTGAAGGTATGGAGGATCTGATGACTTTTGTCTTTTAGCTCCAGAGATGGTACAACTTCATTAAATGCTCTTCGGGTAGCGTGTCCCATGAGCTGAGGTCCTTATTGTCCTAGGATGTTGTCACATCAGACAGGTAGAACATTCTTCTTGTTGATGAGAAGAAGAATACTTGTTGAAAAGAACTGTCTTCTTAATGACAACTCCTTCTTTCGTTGCTGTGGAGTCTTCTTTCGTCTTGATCAGCCTATCTTCTATTCATAACTCCTTTCGTGTGTTTGTTCTAGCTTAACACGAATTACATATGAGTTATGGCAACTTTCGTCTAGAACGAAAGTAGCGATACAGTAAAAACGAAAGAGTTAGGGGTCTACTTTCTACATTACATTGGTATCATCAAAATCCTAATACATGGTTCCTAACACAGTACTTTAATTTCTCGATTTAGAATGTATTTACTTTGAACATTAATTAGTCTTTGAAGTTTTTCATAAGATTCCATCTTTTTCATATTACGAAATCAGTTATGAAAATTGAAACGTATAAAATTAATATGTTACGCTGATTTAGATTCATAAATTATTTGTTCTTAAAAGTAATGATGATTTCTAAAAGTTTGTATATTTCACTAAATCATTTGTCAATTGTAATACATAAGTAATGCACTTTTAAAATAAGTAAGGACTACACTACGCCGGCCGCACATGGACTCATCTTAGTGTCTCTGATGGAGGTGAGGTGATCACATGTTGACATTGTTTTGATCGGACCCATTTCATTCCTTATCCACTCGCATCGCCTCCTAGACAATATTAGTCATATCATCTACCTTTTTCTCGTAATTTTCTGGAAGCATCCTCAATAGGGGAATTATGGAAGGTTGTTGCAGGGGCAATGCACATGTGGATTAGAGCAAAAGATGAGAAAGAATAAATTGGGGTCTTGCAGGAGGCATTAATTTTTGTCAGATTCAGTGAGTCCCACCAAAAAAAAAAAAAAACTGTCTCCTTGTGCACGTGAGTCGCATCAGAAATGCTCAGCCTGGTGCGTGCACACCACGTGCCATAGCTAGCTTGAATTGATGTTTCGTTATATTATATTGTTGCATAGCTAAACCTTAGCTAGCTTTCTAATTAATATTGCAAATAATTTATGTTTGTTTCATGAAGTTAACAAATTCAACCTGCTTCCCTTAATAGGAAATTCCATATATCATTCACGGAATTTGAGAGAAGGAATTTTAAAAGAAAGGTTTTAATTAGGAATCGTGAAAAGAAAGTTTGAGAGATAGAGATATCAAAAATTTAAGATGTTATGTTTATCGGGAATGAATGGGAAAAGGTCGTGAAGGATGACTGTGTCATAAATGGAGACCAATTGTTTTTTTTTTTTTTTATCTATAACGTACGGTTGTGACGCAGTGTTTGACTTCTTTGTAGTTGACTTATTCGATTCTGAAAAGATAAGAGTGGAAGATGAAATGAGAGAGCCTATTCAATTTCTTAACAAAGACTACAAGAAAATAGTACACGGTAAAATACTATTAGAACTAGCAATAGATTAAATAATTTCAATTTAAATATTTATGATTTTAGTATTTTACGAATGATTATATCGTGCACCGCGATGAACGAAGGATAATACCAAAATGCTCTTGGTTAATCGAAGCTCTCGCTGGCTGGTTGACGGAATACGGTCGGAAGGACTAAACCGACTAAAAATAATTATTTTCGTTGACCAAATAGATGAATAAGAGATTGAGGGACTACTTGACAGTTCGCTAATAATTGAGGGACCAAATTCTTAATTCCCCCTAAATTAAATACCTGTGAGTTTCAGTAACTTACTTTCAAAATTTTCAATTTCTTTACAAATTTTATTTTTTGACGTGTTATTAATATATTAACTTTTTAATTACTATTCGACATGTTTGTTAACTCATCATATAGGAATCGTTATACAGTTGACCATGGTCCACACATTGTTCTGTGGGCCTTGGTCGTCAAATGAAACTACACAGTAGAATTAAATTGATACTATAGTAATGCTATAATAAAACTAGTGTATGTGAAAAATGCAACTTTAAAAAAGTGTATTCAATAATATATATTGTCAAATTAAACTGTAGTATAAAGCCGGGGGTAGCCATATAAGGTTGGAACAGGGCATAAGGTTAGAACTATGATACTTGTGCCATGTAGTTATCACTGTGGCATGTAGTTGCCAATGTGCGAATGTATTTTCTTTGCTAATGAGCATGTCTGACGTATTTTACTTTGTGATCAATAGAATGCATCTTGAGTTGTATTGTCTTTCATGATTCTTGTCTTGGTATTGTCGTAAGGATGTTGATTCCTTTTCCTTTTTAGAGTGTTAATGAGTCCTTGAAGTTGACTTCTTTCGATGGCTTTTGAAATGATATATACTGTATTCCGTTTCAAAATGGTTTTGACTTATACTTATTTGATAGGAATATTTTTGTAATAAAATTTTGATGAGCCAAATGTACTTTAGATCCCCTTAGAATTTAGGTCTTTAATTAGTACAAGCATCATAATCCAGAATATCGAGTCAAAGAGAAATCTACCACATGAAGAACAAAATTAATTCGGAAAATTAATTTTGGTCCTACAAGTATTCATCCGAGAAAGAAGCATTAAGGAATGGTGCTGCAATATTAGTAAACCCGTTATAAATTTATAGACATATTATGTCTAACAATAAAGTAATTTTTATTGACTTATCAATTATCATTAAAACTCTGCATAAGAGAACTTCACTAACTTTAAAGTAATTTGTTATGACATAATTTTTATTTTTATTTGTTTAAAGTGTAAAAATTAACGGTCTATTTGACAGATTTTCCTTGAAACAATTTTCCTTAAATCAATTATTTGATCAGGCAATTTGCGCGAAAAATGCATCAGCATCGTAACCTCATGATCCAAAGCCTTTATGGTCTCCTCATATTTGCGGTTCAGCTCGTCTACACGGACATGCATCTCCTCAAGCAAACTTTTCCTTTTCATGACAGTAACATACCACATGTCGTATTCTGCCTCCAATTTAGCACGCTTCTGACTCTCACTCAGCTCATCGTTGCTCTCCATAACCTTAACCTGGAAAGAAGCGCAGAATTTTAAATCCAATTAACTGATTTAATCCAAATTCCAAGCAATCTAAATCTGAAATGCATGGATTAAAAATTCATAATTGCATAAGAGAAATTGAAAAGAATACAACACAACACAATCTGAATCTGAAATGCATGAATTAAGAATTCAAAATTGCAATAGAGAAATCGAAAATGATACAACACAATCTACATCCGGAGTGTAGGGATTAAGAATTCAAAATTGCAATAGAGAAAACGAAAAGAACACAATAGAATCTAAATCTAAAATACAATGCAGGGATTAAGAATTCGAAATTGCAGTATGAAAATCGAAAAGAATAGAACACCATCTACATTTAAAATACAATGCAGGGATTACGAATTCGAAATTGTAGTAGAGAAACATAAAAGAATACAACACAATCTAGATCTGAAATACAATGCACGAATTCGAAATTGTAGTAGATTGAAGGCAGTAAAGAAAACAACACAATCTAGATTTAAAATATAAGGATTAAGAATTAAAAATTGTAGTAGAGAAAGAAGGCTACTTTTGGAATTGAAACACA